TTTAGAGTTAGAGAATATAGTATGTCTGCTGGTTCCTACTTTTTCACAGTGTAGCCAGTTACTTAAATATCCAAGGGTGACTCTAGTTCTAAACCTTTGGGGCCCCTACTGCTCATTTTGTCAGTGAAATTAAAACTGTAAGATCATGTGGGAAAGTTACAATACCCGCTCCTCTGCTTCATTCTTTGTTAACTCCAATTCACAGAGTACACTTGTCACTTTATTTGCTCTGATTTGGTATTTATTTCTCTTGGGAACAGAGTACAAAACGACACCCAGTAGTTCCACATGAAAACTCTTTTCTCTAGTTTCGGCTACCCCTGGAATGTTGTTTTCACCAAACTACTTATTGGCTGCCTTTCTTAAGTTACAGTCATTTATTTGATGAGGTAACTGGTAGGTGTATCCACCTGTCTAAAAAAGATTTATTAATGTGATCCACCATTGATGTTTAAAAGAATTATTTTGGAAACCATTGCGGTTCCTAGTTGCAATCCATTCAGATGCAGTAGATGTAATATCTAGTTCATGCATTCAGACACATTGTATTAGCTAGCTGTGTTGCTGCATAACAAACCGTGCCAAACTTCAGTACTTTGAATAAAAATCATTTTACTACCATAGCTCACATGTTTATGCCTGGCTAGGTTTTGGATGGTCCCTGTGGGCATCAACTGGGTGACTCTACTAGATTCATTTACATCTCCAAAGCCAGCAGGCTGTTAGCTGATGTTGGCTAAGCTCTGCTGGGGGTGGCTTTGACGAATATGTTTGGGTTCAGCAGATTATCGAGGCTCCTCCTTGTCATAGTGATAATAACACTAGGGGAATGTAAACCCACTCTTAACAGGCACATCTCAAGAATCTGCTTATGTGAAGGAGCTAACCTGCCATTGGATAAACCAAGTCACGTGGCTGGAGGTGGGGGGTGGGGCTACTAAAAGATGCCTTGGAAAAAGACATAGATGGAGGGAGAGGGAAGAGTTGAAGCCAGCAATAGAGCTTATCTGCGTGTATTAGGAGGCACTGACTTGTTGAATAAAGGGCCTCTAGCTGTGCTCCTGGGGCCATTTGAGTTTCTACCCAACAAAAGCCATCCTCCAGTGTGGCGCAGCGGAAGCAGAAGCAGCCTGAGTGCATGTGCGATCCACCACCCAGGGACAACAGTTTCCTAATACAATTTATAAGTACCATAAAATATGAAGGCTAAGAAAAAAAGACACACATGTTCTGCATGATTGTCCAGACATATGTTTAGTATTTTGGCATATGTCTCCTTTATGTTATGTTCATTAATGGTATATCATTATGCCCAGATTTTTCCTTACTACTATATTGTAAGCCTTTCCTTTGTTACTACAAAGCCCTTATAAATGTAATATCTTTAAGGTCTATATAAATAGTCACTGCACAGATGCACTATGATTGACCTAACCTTTCCTTTGTTCTTTAATATTTTGATTACTTCTAGGGTTTTATGATTATAAATAATGACATAGACATAGTGAGCGCGTTTATGCTTAAACCTTTACCCCGTATAGAGTTGTTTCCTGAAAGGATATTGGCAGGAGTGCAGGGATCTGTGTTCCACTGCTAATTTTGGTGTCATCAGGACTTGCGTGTCAGTTTCCTCTATAAAGTGATTCTTTGAGGTTGTTTGATGGCCTCACACCTCCTTCTAACTCTGAAACATCTTTCAAGATAGAGGACACATTGCTACATTGGAATGGTATTTGTTTTCCTCCAAAAAGCTCAGGGAGGGGAAGGCAGCTTCCTGGGACCTCACACATGGAAGGCTTTGCAAGAGGAGGTTTCCTTTTGCAGGTCAGGTGTCATTGCTCGCTCTGCAATCTCCAGGTCCTGAGAGAGCAGCCGTCACAGAACACTGACCATTAAGAATCTATGAAGTCCTGACCCGTTGGATGAGGGTGCACGTACTTCGAGAATGGTTTCACAAGCACAGAAGAACTGTTTCCATTGCCTGTCTTCATTTTGTCTTATAACTTTGTATTTACTTTTCACCTTTTTTTTTTTTTTTCTTTTCCTTTGCCTGTGGATTAAATTGGGTCACACTCACCCTAGTTGCTCCTTCACATTAGGGGACCTTCTCCCAATTTCTTGGGGACTTTTCTCAGGGATATCTCCTTCCTTCACATCTCAGGATGCACTGAGGCCATATTGCATCTTACTCTCTGCCAGGGGTAAATATTGCTGACTTTGGTGGACTTTGAATGCTGAATCCAGACAACAGAGGCAAGCATGTCTCAGGGTGGAGTGGAGAAAGTGCGAGCTTTGCTTTCTCTGTCCATCTCCCCTACCTGCCAACCCCCTGCTCTGCCCGAAGCATGTCTTCCTGGTGCAGGCAGCCTTCTAGGTCCTATTTCCTTTTGGGAGAGGACTTCGTCTTCCTTTGGCCCATGGTCCAGTTGCTCCTCTAAGCTGAGCTGAGGCTCCCTTTGGGGCCAGCAGAATTCTGTGCAAGTATAGTGTGGTCTTCCTCCTCTGGCCGCCATCAAAGAGCCCTTTGTTCCCTCACACCCGCCCCCTTCGCTAGGATGTCACCCACACCCCACAAGTGACAGAAATCCCCCCATCACGCCATGGTGCTAGGCAGCCTGTAGAACTCTCTCCAAAACAAAACATCATGTGATGTTTTGTGACATGTGAACCTCTTTCTATGCCTCAAGGAAGCTGCTTAGAAAGTGCAGTTTTAATGGTTGTTAACTTTAGCCTTTAGCTCCTGTTTTCGCTGTTCCTTCATTCTCCTAGCAGTTCTGCATGATTTTCATGGACTTTTTCATAAGAAAACTAGAGTCAGATTCTGCAGTGTGGGTTCGTAATGTCAACAGATTTGCTTCCCTGAACAATGATGCGGGTCACTAAGCCTGTGTGGTGTGCGTTTAAAATGTTTTCATGCAGGAGAGGAACGTGTCTCTGTTATTTATGCCTAGTTTTTACTAAAGTTGGCATCAGCCCAGGGATATGCACTTGGGGAACCGCTGGCTTGTGTTTTTTGCTGTGTCTGTTTCCAGCCTGCTTGGCTTTCTTTTCCTGCACCTCCCTGCTTTGCCAGGGCTGCACTGAGGTGCTAGCTTGGAAGTAATCTGGAGTTCGTGGGCTTCTAGGAGAACACGTGCTCGGTGATGGAGGTTCTCTCTGTGATTCATGTTGTTGCCTGGCTACTGTCTGTCCCTAGGCCTAGTGAAAATCATGGCGGCCCTGAAACAAGACCAGACCCAGACTTGGCCACGATCGCACCCTCTACTCTGGATGTGCCATCCCTCCCTATCAGCAGAGGGTAGATGTTTTTATAAACTCTGAAGATTCCCACAGGCTGAGCAAAGTCTCTAGAAGTCTAGTTAGGGTTGAGGCATAAAGTGGGATCACAGGAAAAATGAGGGCAAAACTAGGGAGTGGAAGAAAAAAAAGGAAAACCAAGCAAACAATTGCCCTCGGGGAGAAGGAGAGGTCCTCTGTCCCGGGATCCTGGGTGCCCACCGTTTGCCTCGTTTTCTCTTTATTTTGACTAAATACTTTCCAAATTCTCTTTTTTTGCATTTGATGCTTTTCTCTTGGTTTTTTTATTAAGACATGTTTTGCAGCACATTGGATAACCTTCATTGTGGGGAGTTTGTACAAGTATATAACACATTTCTGCACCCTTCCGCTCCCTCCAACTCCCGTTCCCCTCCCATGTGTAAACGCACTATGGGCATTCTTTTTCTTGATTCTCTCTCTTAAAATCCCTTTCTCTCCTTCCCTTTCTTATTCCCCTTCTCATTGGAAAAGGATCTCCCTACTTCCTATTATCTTTTATTTTGCTCTTTATATATATTTTGGGTTTCTCAAATAAGCAAAACCATGTAAAATTCAAGCTTATGTGTCTAATTTATTTCACTTAATATATGTTCTCAAAGTGTGTCCATTTACCCACAAATGTCTCAACTTTATTCTTCTCTATGGCAGAGTAGTACTCTGTTGTATATAAATACCACATTTTCTTTATCCATTCGTCTGTTGATGGGCATAGAGGCTGTTTCCAAGACATAGCTATTGTAAATTGTGCTACTGTAAATATGATTATGCATGTATCACTGTAATATGAGGACTTAACTCTTTTAGGATGATAACTAGATGAGGAATAGCTGGGTGGAATGGAATTTTTAATTTTAGTTTTTTGAGGCGTTTCCATTGTGATTTCCACAGTGGTTGTACTAGTGTACACTCCCAACAACAGTGTAGAAGCGTTCTTTTTTTCCCTTGCAGCCTCAAGAGCGTTTGTTATTATTTGATTTCTTGGTGATAGCCATTCCTTTTGGAGGAAGATGGGATCTCAGTGTTTTTTTTCATTTGCATTTCTGTACTGACCAGCAATGTTGAGCATTTCTTCATGTATTTAATGGCCATCTGCTCTTCTAAGAAGTGTCGATTTAGGGGCTGAGGATTTAGCTCACCGGCAAAGCACCTGCCTGGCAAGCGCAAGGTCGTGAGTTCAGTTCCCGGTACCGGAGGAAACCCCCCCCCAAAAAAAAACAAAACAAAACAAAAAGAAGTGTAGATTTATTTGAGTTGCCCATTTTTGGATTGGATCTTTATTTGGGGGGGTCCTTTTTGGTGTATTCTTGAGCAAATAGCGTATTACTTGGTTTTAAAACCAAAAGGCATGATTCATTACAGATGGAAAGTGTTGCTTTCCATCATTTTCCCCACTACCTAGTCTTGGTCTTGCTCTGCACGGGAAGCTGTTTCTTTCTCCTGTCTGTCCTCCTCCCAGTTTCTTTGGCATAGTGCGATGCAGGCAGAGACCAATGTGGCTTCTTATGTTACCATCTGTGCCTTTATCTACTTATTTCCTCTCACATGGTCGCCTTATTCCCTTGTATCCTTCATGGACAATTCTTCATGGAGCTTTGTTCTTTTAGAATGGCTAGGGGTCTGTAGCTTTGCTTGCACCCGATGCTCTGAGCATGCTCACGTGTGTGCTTGTCTTCTTCCCACAGAGGAGGCAGAAAGTGACAAGTGGTACCTGTCTATGGACTTTCCTCCAGCAACCATCAAGACAGAGCCGATCACAGAGGAGCCACCCCCGGGACTTGTTCCCTCTGTCACCCTGACCATTACAGCTGTTTCCACCCCCTTTGAGAAGCAGGAGCCCCTTCTGGAAACGAATCCTGGGGTACAATCAATTTTCTTTCATTTACTTAGGTTGGGTCAAAAGATACAGAGCTATGTTTTCCATTAAGGCGTTCATTCTAGTGACTGTACATATTTAAGGGCAAGCCTACAACTGTGTGTAACTATACAAAGTAATATATATGTATACATATTCATTATGCACATATACATGTGTATGCATGTATATGCACATATATATGCATATGCAATGAATATGTTGTTTGGTATCAGCATTGATTATATCACAAGCTTTACAGGCATTGTCCAGAAAAATTAGTAGCAAAGCTGAACTTGTTTTTTTATTGCTACTACACAGTAAAAACACTGATAAATATTCATAGTAACAAGTTCCCTATGGTGTTGATTTTTAAGCCAGTGGTAAGGGATTGGCTAAAATGACAGTCTAGTTCACACCTCAGAGTGCCACGGCTATTGGGAGTGCTACTTTCTGTATAATATTCAATTTCCTAGGGCACTGCTGAATTCTGGAATCTTCCATGTACTGATTCACATTGTGTTCCCTAAGCAAAGCATAAGAAATCAAAAATTTCTTCCCTGCTCATGTGTATGCTTATAGCAAGTAGAATTTAATTCTGTTCTGATTGCTCTCTGGGTAATTTCCAGTGTTTGACAATTAACCAGAATTACCCTTGAAAATCTCCCCATAGAGGTTGGAAGCCAGTCCTAGTTTCCAAAGCCTCAGCTTGGAAGCATTGGCTCCATTAACATCCATGAGGTCCGATCTTCTGTAAGCTGGATGTGTTGTCTCCCTGTTCAGAAGGTGGCACAGACTCGGTAGAGCATGAGCACACTGCTGCCTCCTCGTGTAGATGAGAGGCTGTGGATGAAGACCCCTGCTTGCCTCCTCACGTCCCTTTCTCAGCTGCCTGGGTCTTTACTGGACGATCTTCTGAGATCTGCACTGGTCTCGTTGCTCCACAAGATTTTAGCTCAACTGGTGCTTGAGTATGCATGTAACTGACAAAGCTCTGGCTCACTGTGTAGCCAGACAGTTCTCCTTTTTGTGCTGTTCCACGGTTAGATGTCGCGGGTCATCAGAGGTCTCAGAGAGACAGGATGTGGCTGGGTGCACACGACCCTATCAAAGGACAAACTGGAGGCCTTGGGACCTTTTAAAAATTTGCCAACTATGTCATGAAAAAAATGCCTTCAGATTCCCACAAAAGCAATAGAAAGAAGCACTGACAAGTGGGCCTGGGGCTTCAGGGCTCAGTTTGGAGGACCCCATCAGCTGCGATGGCAGACTTGGCAGCGAGAAGGTCGAGAATTGGAATGACTTCCTGGTAAAGGAGCATCCGCGTCCCCTTGAGCTCCAGAGAGGGGCTGGCCCCAGAGGCAGATTCCACGCCAAACAGCTTTCCTGTCTTCAAACATCATGTTTGAAATTCTTCCTGTAGGTCGATTCCTCATGCCAGACGATTATCCCTAAGATTAAGCTGGAGCCTCACGAAGTGGATCAGTTCCTGAACTTCTCTCCTAAAGAAGGTGTGTTCACGCAGCCCACCGCCCTTCTTTCCCCCGTACGCTCACGCGGTGTGCAGAGAAGGGGTCCAGGCAAATAGCCGAGCCCACAGGTGGGGTTTGCTTTGTGGAGCAGCTCTGTTCCTTAAGAAATCTGAGTTCCACATACACGTTTTAAAATTGATAGATTATTTCCCTCCTGTGCACAAATTGAGTGTTCACACGCTTTTGCTTCTAGTCTGGGTGATTTTTCAAGTCTTTCTAGATGTCTATGCCACGGATATCAGTGACGACACCCACTGTCCTTATGCCCTCCTTGTGTGAACCCCACAAGTCCTCTGCAACCCACAGCGGCACCCCACAAATACAACGCACAGCGGCACATCCATGGTGGAAGCCGCTCACATTTCAGCCCCCTGCAAAGTGAGTTTGTAATTTATCTACCTGGCCAGTGCAGTGTTTTAAACGTGGATTCTGGGTGACAACACCGGCAAGGAGCCCGCTTTCTATTTGGCAATGTTCATGGCCTCTCTTGGGCTTCTTGCCATCTGTTTATAACTAAATGGTGACAAACTTGAAGTCATTTGGCTTTGCTCTTTGTCTATGTCCTTTGCTTCCTGACCTTCTCCCTCTTTGTTCTCCCCCTGAAGCCCACAATTGGGGTCCTGCACCCCGGCCCCTGAGCCTCGTGGGTCCTGGGAAGCCCTCTGCATCTTGTTTAAACAGATGCGCCTGCACAGATCCCGTTCTTTTCAGCTCCGAGCCTTTGGCCCTGCTGTCTCCTCCTTTTTTATTTATACCTTCTTTGTGTGCATGCTCTGCTAGGGATAGAACCCGGAAGCTCACATATGCCAGGCAAATACTTCATCACTGAGTTGCAAGCCCAGCCTTTTTTATTTTTATTTCCAGATAGAGTCTCACTAAGTTGCCCAGGCTGACCTTGAATTTGCTACCCTCCTGCCTCAGCCTCTTGTATAGTGAGGCATGTGCCACATTTCAGGCATGTGCCACCATGGCCACCTATCTTAACAGTTACAGCACATGTTTAGAAGTATAGGTCATTGTGTGGCCAACAAGTAAGAAATTAGCGTATATGATAGTTACAGAAGAAGAGTATGTGGTGCCTTATATAAATGTGTATACGAGTGGGTCTCATGGGTGAATAGTCCACCACTGGTCCTGTAGGAGCTTGCTGAAGATTTGATTTGTGACTATTCTATTAGGGCTGGCCTTTTATTGACCTTTACTATCTGTAAGAAAGGGATACATTTTAAAAATTAATAATATCGACCAGTGTCTATATGGAGGTATTATGTCTTTGCATTGAGTGGTATACAATGTGGTTTGAGCTTTATATCCCACTTTAAAGTAATTCCTTTCAATTTTACCGCACTGGTTATTACTATCGAACCCATCATGCTCTTTTTAATTTATGATGCAGTGTGGTTCAGAAGGTGCCGTGACTGTAACAATAGATCCCACAGTGGCTTCGGAATGCAGGGTCACTGGAGGAGAAATGCTCGGAGAATCAAGCAAATAGCAGGCCTTCCTCATTGTCCTGGATAGAGAGATAAGGAAATTCAATATCCTAGCACGCATCGGAGTTTCTAGGCAAAGTGGCTCATCCCGGCTCTTTCAGTAACCCAAGAGCGGCATTTCAGATGATATTTAGTCACTTGACACTGAGGGACCCGTGGCCGGAGCAAGCTCTCCGTAGGTGGGAGAGGCGAGGTTCATGTTCACTTTACTCACTCTTCCTGTCTTTTGTGGGGAACCCCCTGCTTGTAACAGAGAATAATATTAGAATACCTTGGCCCTTGCCAAGTGAGAGGCAGGGAAGCTATATCTACGTACTCTTGCAGGTCTTAGGAAATGTAGCAGGACGGTGTGGCCGGAAGCTGGAACCCTTGATGAGCAGTCAGCTCCCTGCCTTCTTTTTTGTCTCCAGTGCTGGTTGTTGAACCCAGGGCCTTCACACTGCGCTACGTCTCCCAGCCCTTTCTTTCTTTCTTTTTTTTTTTGAGACAAGTTCTTGCTAACTCCCCAAATTGCCCAATTTGGGCTTAAATTTACAATCCTCTTGCCTCAGCTTCCCAGAGTGCTTGGATTACAGGTACATGCCACCATGCTCAACTGCTTTTATTTGTTGTCACGCATTGCCATAGTCTATATGGCGTTGGGGAAACCTTGATAAATAAGTGCTTGTAAACCTCCTCCTTTCCAGCCAAGCCCATCCACATTAAGCTACACAGGTCACCTCCTTAGCTGCTAGCACTGTTGGCAGGAGTGCTGGGAACAGGGTATGCAAGACTGTCCTAGAATAGCTTTAAGTATGCCCGCAGGCGCTGAAATGCCCAGGGAGTTCTTTGGCAAGGATTTGGCAGAGAAAAAGCAAAAGAAGAAGCACTTAGAAAACAGTAGGATGTTGCAAAGAGAGAGAGAGAGATGAATGAGAAATGTCCTGGAAACGTGAGAGCTGGCGGGTGGCTGGGAACCGGGATATTCAGATCCTCCAGTGAGACAGTGAGTGCCTGCCTGCTGCGGTTATCTCGGGGGCAGCTAGGGCGGGGGCACTTGTCTGAGGTCAGGTGTACCCTTGACTGCCATCAAGGGTAGCACCTCGGCAGTCTCTGTTTGAGGAAAGAGGAGGACAGGTCATGCCCGAGAGCTACCCTGGCCAGGTAGCCTCTGCCAGGTGGGCCGGGCTTGTACATGCAGCTAGACTGAGGCTCCATTGTCCTGGGGCCCAGAGGGACTTGGGGTGAGGGCCCCACAAAGCCTTCTCCCCTGGTTCAGCAACAGGGGCTGGTAGAACAGAAATATCCGCAGAGGGAGGGACCTAAGAGTGCTCCCCCGGACTGCCGGCGGGTCACACCGAGGCTGCGCCCAGCAGAATGCGCTGTACCCCTGAGGAAAGGCCTGACTCCTGTTTGATTGTCCCATGCCTGCTCGCCCATCTGAAGGTGTAGTTCATGTCTCCTGAATGAAGAATGCCTGGCCTCCTGCCCGCGGGCCCAAGAGGCCCAATTCTCCAGATACAATTAGCTTTTCTCCCAGTGCCGTAAGGACTCCCGGGTTTTATTGTTCCTTCAAAAGATTCTCTTTTCCAGTGCGTGGTGCATTTTTATTTACAAATCAAACTTCATGTGAAAAGAATGCAATGACAGTTGTCAACACCCCGTCACAGTCCCCCAGGTCTCTCCCCACCTCTCCTGGGTCGCCCTCTTACTAGCACCTGGTGTGTCCTTCTAGGATTTATGCCGGGACACGCAAATCTATCTCCTATCCCACACAAAAGGAGGCCTGCTGTACACAGCTCTTCCCCACCCTACCCCGGAGCAGCACGCCTTGGCCACCTGCCTTTTGGGGTGGCTCTTTCCGGCTGTCCTGGTCCCCTGCGTGCATGCCCTGGTCCTCCCCGCCCCCGCCCCCAAGGCCTGCTCTACTGCTGCATCTCAGTGAATGAGACTCGCTCGATTTCTGTTCCCCAGCCTCCGTGGACCACCTGCACTTACCACCCACCCCTCCCAGCAGCCATAGCAGCGACTCGGAGGGCAGCCTGAGCCCCAACCCGCGCCTGCACCCCTTTGGCCTGCCTCAGACCCACAGTCCTGCCAGAGCCGTGCCCCGGGCCCCCTCTGCCCTGTCCAGCTCTCCTCTCCTTACAGCTCCGCATGTGAGTATCCTGGGGCCTTTCAATCTTCATTTCTTAATGACTCAGCATGAACCTGCTCCCCATGGTGGGGATTGAAACCAGGGCCATTATGCTGAGCGGCATCCCCTGCCCTTTTTATTTTGAGACGGGTCTCTAAGTCACCAAGTTGTTTAGACTGAGCTCCAACCTGCATCTCAGCCTCCTTAGTTCTGAGAATACCAAACACGTACCGCCACATTGGCTTGGGTTTTACTGTCTTAATGCAATTTCTGTTTAATGGCTAAGTGTCTTAGTCTGTTCTGTGTTGTGTAACAAAATGCCCAAGCTGGGTACGTGGTAAAGATGGTATTTCATTTAGATTTGCTAATCATGATGTTATAAATTGACGGTAATTTTTGAAAGACTATATAGAAACCAGTACACTTTTTTTTTTTTGTCTTTTTGAGACAGGGTTCTGCTGTGCAGTTCAGGCTGGCCTTGAGCTCACTTTGTACTCCAGGCTGGCCTGGAACTTGTGGCGATCCTCCTGCCTCAGCCTCCCAAGTGTTGGGATTACAGGCTTGTACCACCACACCTGCCTTTAAGAACCAATTCACTCTTAAGAATGATAAAATGTTAACAATCTCTGCTTTTCACTGGGAAAATAGAGTTCTATACGTGAGAGATGAAGGATGACTCAGAAGTTCTAACCTCAGCCTCTTGTTCACAAGCTCATATACTTGTTCTCTCTCCACGTTTTAACACGCCTTCAGTTAATATTAGAGCTGAGTGCTTAATGACTCATATTCTTCCATGACTGTCACCTCAAGCCTCATGGTCTTGATCACAAGTTACCTGAGAGACAGGGTTGGTTTTGGGTCCGCCATGGGTAGGACATAGAGACAATACTCAGTAGCAGCTTGGTTTCTACAGAATGGCTGCAGACACATCATTCTAGTCCAGGCTGAGTGAGATGTGCTATAGTGCTCTTTATCATGGCGGACAGGAAGAGACGCCCACGGACAGGGCCTGCATGTTTGTCTCCAGGACTCGGACACCTTAGCTGTCCACAGACATGAGGGGCAACCTGACGTATGAAGACCACATTATAAAAGTGTGTTTTTACCAGGAGAACCACAAACCAAAACAGAGCTCCAGGTGGATCCTTCTTCGCCCCAAGGCCAGGAAATCTCCGTTGATGTGGGAAATGAACCCCATACTTTTACTTTTGATGCATGGGATGCTAGCAGGGTGCTTCCTGGGAAATGACGCACGGAAGCCGCTTATCCTTCCCCAGGAATTCCAGTCCTTGGGTTAAAGTGCTCACAGGAGCATTTCTTCTCCATCTTTGTTTCTACTTCAGAGCAGCCATTCTTCACGCAGAGCGCACAGGGCTCCTTCTCTTGCACAGCCTGTAAGACATTAGAGGGCCGGGGATATAGCTCACTGGCTCAAGCACCTGCTTGGCAAGCATGAGGTCATGAGTTTGATTCCCAGTACCAAAAAAGAAAAGGTCCTGTAAGACATTAGAGTGGGGTCTCTCCCACCTCAGCACACCCTCCCCTCCCTCTGAGCCCTCTCTGCTCCTTGGTCCGCACAGAAACTGCAGGGATCAGGCCCGCTGGTCCTCACGGAGGAGGAGAAGAGGACCCTGATCGCTGAGGGCTATCCCATCCCCACCAAACTGCCCCTGACAAAATCAGAGGAGAAGGCCCTGAAGAAAATCCGGAGGAAAATCAAGAACAAGGTGAGCCTCCAAATCTAGGCACTTCGTGCGCAGAGGCAGCAAACACAAGCCCGAAGCTCCTCGTTCTCATCCTACTGGGCAAAGCTGTCCTTGGGCTCTGCCCTCCCCTTCTCTTGCCCAGGAGAGGGGCACCCTCTAGAGAAATGCCAGCTCCTCCTCATCTGTGTGCAGAGCCAATCCTGGGTTTCTAGGTATCCAAACCCGGCTGCCTTGTTTAATATCGCAGTTGAGCCACACAGGGTCCTGAGAGGCGGCGTTGCTTATCAGCGGCCTTAACAATGGTTCAGGCCCTACAAGTTGGTTCTGGCTTCTGAGAGACCAGTGACCTTTCTTCTGGGGGGCTAGACTGGTGACAGCACAGGTTGGTGGAGCCAGCAGTGACAGAGAGGTGGCCAGGGGACAAGCCAGCAGGCTCAGCAGGCGGGACGTGGCCGCAGAAGTGAGCGGGACTTTGCTGAGGTCTGTGTATCAGCCTCCTGTCTTCTACTCCCCTGTAACGAACGCATCCTTTCCCCCACCGTTACTTCTCAGATTTCTGCGCAGGAAAGTAGGAGAAAGAAGAAAGAGTACATGGACAGCCTGGAGAAAAAGTAAGCTGCTGAGAATCTGGTTGTGGCCGGGTCAGCATTCACAGAGAAACGGGATGGGTTGTATGTGGGAGAATCCAAGCAAGCGCCTCTTCCTGGCCACCTCCAAAGCCCGGTTTATCTGGGTCTTGCCTGCCACCTAGTGGTTGCTTCAGGGGCGACCTTGATAATGAAGGCAAGAGGTAAAAACTACCCTCCCTCTTTCCAGGCCTTGGCGCCACCGCGTGTTTCCAGCCCGGGGTCCCAAGTGCACCGGGCGGCCTTTCACACAAGGACAAATATTGACATTCCAGATGTTCCTGGAACTCCTCACAGGAGACAGACTGTTCAGCCCAAAGGAACAGTTGTATTTAACAGACTCTCCCTGGCCACACTCCCTGGGCCTAGAGAAAGCACATGTAAAGGGGTCCGGTTGCATTCTTCATTTTCTGAGCAGTGCAATTCATGTGTGGGTGAGTGAGAGGCTTTTTGCAAAAACGTGAAGGCACCCTTTGTTCTTCTGAAGAGCCTAGACGGCTGTTAGAGAAGTGCGAATTAATCTTTTTTTCTGGTACTGGGGGTTAAAACCAGGGCCTTCACACTGAGCTACCTCATTGACCACTTTAAAACATTTTTTTTTTTTTTTGAGTCAGGGTCTTGCTGAATTTCTGAATGGCCCATGCTGGGCTTGAGTGTGGAAAACTCCTGCCTCGGCCTCCCAGAGTGCTGGGATTGCAGGCGTGCACCATCAAACCTGGGTGCAGTTCTTATTAGCCCTAAAAAGTAGTTCTCTAGCTGAACAGCAGATGTGAGGGAGCTAAAGAGGCCCTTCATGAGAAGCGAGTCTTGCCTTGATGCAGGGGAACAGTGGTTGGCAGACTCTGGCTGGTTCTAGAAGTTCTGCTTACAGTTAGGGCGCCTCTCACCTCATGCAGCGTTAAGTAGCTCCATTCCATTCTGTTATTTTCCATTAGACATCCAGACTCTGGATACTGCCGTGAAAATTCCTCTGCTGTCTCTTATGGGCATGCAGACTGCAGCACCCAGTGTCCTTGTCCTGGGTTCATGTTTTCCTTACATCCCTACTCAACCCTTGTGGCCACGAATCAGTGCTTGTTGGCCGGGAGTCCAGCCAGCAGGTGCAGATCTGTGCAGTCCAAAGGAGAAGCATGAGCACTGCAGGGAAGAGGAAGAGGTTGTCACCAAGAGCTTATGTGATGTTCCATCCCATTCGCCTCCCAAAGTTGAGACCCTTGTTACTCAATCCGCCTTTTTCTGTCTCCTCATGCACTTCCCAGCTCAGGTTGGCCAACTTCCTCCCCGTCTGCTCTCCTAGATCCCGCCTCCCTCCACCAAGCTTCTGGTTGGCTGTGTGCTCTAGGGAGAATGATCAGTTTTCTTTTTCTCTCTCCTCCGTAGAGTGGAGTCTTGTTCAACTGAGAACTTGGAGCTCCGGAAGAAGGTGGAGGTGCTGGAGAACACCAATAGGTAACTGTGACTGAGCGAGCACCGCCCAGATGGAGAGTGGGGTGGAGGGGGTAGAAGCCAGGAAGCCAGGGCCAGAGAGGGAGGCAAGTGGCAGCAGGGGGACCCTCTTAAAAGTGTGGCTGTCCCGTTAAAAGTCAGAACAGCTGCCCTCCACCTCGCCGGTCCTGTTAAGTGTGTGTGCACGGCTACGCGTGCATAGGTACGGTACATGAACACATACCCGTATGTACACGTATACATGCACAGTACGAGCCCAGGCGTGTGGGCCCATGCACACACAGTACACACGCTCTCTGCATGTATGCATATCTACCCACATGCATTCTTTCCCTTTCCGAAAAGTGGAGGGTTGATGGAGAAGCTCCACAGGGCTAGTACTATCATAAAGTTTTAAAAGAGGTGTGGCGAGGAATAAATCCTTAAGTCTGATTTTCCTGGACACCAAACTTCAGACGTGGACAAGGAAGCCCTGGCCATGTCACTGCCACCCATTTTTAGTAATAAGTGATGCTTATTTATTTAAAAAAGGAAAGAAAATTTTTTTCTTAAGTTTTTTTTTCAACGGATGCGTTACTTTTCAAGCCAATTTTGAAAAACTAATGATGCGGCTGAGTTCATGGGTTCTTTCCGCACCTGTGCCAGGTACTGTGTGAGCGCTGAGTGGGTACTGACTCATTTAGCCCCGTGAGGTGTACTGTTGTCATCCCCCTTGCATGGACGAGGCATCTGGTCCAGGCAGGAGCACACTGCCATTTCACTCTGGATTATCTCCAAGGGGCTAAGGGAAGGGGTTACAAACAGCTTTGAGAGCTTCGGCCACAATGTGTGTGTTGTGCGCATGCGCGGAAGTTGAAGCATGCGCTCCTCGGAGCTTCTTGGTACCTTGGTTATAGCTCCAACACGTACAGCAGAGGAAAATTGTTTGGGCTAAGACAAGATGGTCAGTCATTGCAGCGCTCAGCACGAGTGCCTTATAACAGTTCTGTAAAGACGGTGGGGTCAGGTTGAATCTTTTTGTATGTTTTGGTAATGACATCTGGTGTGCGTTTCCTGGATCTCCATGGCCTGGGCAAACAGCAGCTGATGCACGCAGAATTTAACGCTACCATGGGAGGGAAAGTGAGGCTGAAGCCCCCGAGTTTCCCCTGCCTGTCTGGAAGCTGGAATGTGCGGCACAGGCCGGTGCAGCGCAGCTCGCCTCGAGCGCTCTGCAGACTCTCGCGAGGGTCTCCAGCACCACTGTCAGACGTGGCTTCACGGCTTGGCCGTGGCTGTCGGTCTCTCTGAGGCCTCCATCTCTCCATTGTGCACTGACCTCCATCCTGCCCCCGAGGATTTCCAGAGGCTTTGCTGGTTCTCTGGCTCCTGCTCCCCAGGCAGAGTCTGTAACTGGCTCTTTAGCACCACGTACAGATAAGAGTTCCCAGGATCCTTCCTGACATTTGCTGCTGGGAAGCCCCATGTTCCTAAGTGGGACAAATCCTGGTTATGCTGGAGAAAGGAGGAAGAAGACAGCACAGGTGACTTTGGAGGGTCCTAGGACGCTGCTGTCAGACCTTCCCTCGGCCACACGGGGGCAGCAGAGTTCACGAGGAGGTGTTGGGGCCCAACGGGTGCCTGAGAGGGCGAAGGGCCAGAAGGCCACCTGGCCTGGGCAAGGGGCTTCCCTCCCTCTCCAGGGCTGCCCCTGATTGATTGATTGATTAATTGAACATTTTTATTTTTCCTGTTGGTTTAAGTCATGTGTCCAAATAAGGCCCGTACGTTCTGGGTCTCTTCCACATAGCTGCCTGTTTTGTAGTAGGGAACTGACCCAGTCTTCCTGTACTTTCCATAGTCCAAGGGCCTCATGGTGCCATTTAGCGCAGCCCTCTGTACACTGTACTTCGTTTGTTTTTGATTTTTGCTGCAGATTCGCCATAGATTCTGCTGTGTTATTCCGTCAGAAGTTACCTAAAACCTAGTTTCCTGGTTACCAGCCGTTTCTAGTAATCGCCTAACCAAATCAGTACCTTAGGGGTTTAGAAACAGCTTTATAAAATCACATCAATTTCTGTTACTAGTTATTAGCAGAATCCCAAGCAAAATCTTTTTCCCAAGTAAAATCTTTCATCATTAATGGACACGAGAATGTAGATACCCCTACGAGGTGCTGATTTCATTTGCTCTAGGAGTGTGCCCAGTGGCAGGATGGCTGGGTCATGTGGTAGTCCCATTTTTAATTTTTTGAGGAGCCTCTGTGCTGTCTTCTGTAATGATTGTACCAATTTATACTTCCATCAACAGTAGGGCATTCCCTTTTCCCGTCACTTTGTCCTCAGTTGTCATAGCTTGCCTTTTAGACACCCTGACAGGGAGAGGGTGACAGCTCATGATTTTGATTTGTATTTCCTTAATAATGAGTAATGCTGAGCACTTTTTCCATATACATTTTTCATTTAACATCTTCTTTGGAAAAAATCTCTTTAGTTCCTTTGCCCACTTTTAAATTATGTTTTGTTTGTTTGTTTGTTTGTTTATTCATATTTTCCCATTGAGTTGTGTGAACCCCTTGTGAATTTTGGATATTAACCCCATGTAATGTCTGACATATGGTTTCTAAATGTCTTCTACCAATCTGTAGCTTGCCACTTTTTGTTTTTGATTGTTTATTTTGCTGCACACTTTTTAGTTTGACAGAGTTCCACCTGTTCTTCATATTCTTTAAACCTAAAAGAAGATACACACATAATATACAGCTATTGTAAAAATTTTATGTATATTTTTTTAAAATCACAATCTTTTCATTTAAAGATATTGTTACATTTTGGAATATTTTATATGTGTGTATTTATATTGGGCATATGCCTCTATTTAAAACTGTTTAGATTTAACAGAATACATGGGATATTTTTTCCAAATCTACAGAATTGGTATTTGAGTTTCAGTCTTAAAAATCTAACTCCCAGGGCTGGAGATGTAGCTCAGCGGCACAAGCGCCTGCCTGGCAAGCTCAAGGTCCTGAGTTTGATTCCTGGTAGAGAAAGAAAGTCTGACTCATAACCGGGCATGGTGGCACACGCCTGTAATCCCAGCACTTGGAAGGCTGAGCCAAGAGGATCACTGCAAGTCTGAGGCCAGCCTGTGCTACACAGTGAGACCCTGGCTGAAAAAAATATATATATAATTCATGACACAGGCTTCTGAGGCTTCTCTGATGGGTGGCTGTTACTGAATGTGACCAGGGCTAGCCTAGATCGCCTGTTAAAGCAGGGTAAGTTTTTTGGTTTTTTGTTCGTTGGTTTCAGCTTTGTTACTGAGCTATAGCTGACAGATAAGATACTATGTTTTGGAAGTATGCAGTGTCATGATTTGATATATGCACATGTTGTGAAATGATCACCACGGTCAAGTGAATTATCATACTCATCACCTGTCGTGATTACCTGTCCTCCCCTCCCATTCCCTCCCCTCTCACCTTCTCCTCCCCCTTCCCTACCCTCTCCCCTTGATGCAGGACTTAAGATCTGCCCTCTCAGCACAAGCATACTGCAGCATTACTAATTATAGCCATCTGCTATACATTGGACCTGCAAAACTTATTCACTGTACCAATGAAAATTTTCAATCCTTTGGCCAACAGCGCCCTCTTCCCACCCCCCAGCCCCCGGCAACCCCACTTCTACTCTCTTGCTTCTGACTTTGACTATTTTCTTTAACAATTCTAAATGTAGTTGGGCGTGGTGGCGCACGCCTGTAATCCCAGCACTCGTGAGGCTGAGGCAGGAGGATCGTTGCGAGTTCGAGACCAGCCTGGGCTACAAAGTGAGCTCAAGGCCAGCCTGAACTGCATAACGAGACCCTGTCTCAAAAAGACAAAAAAAAAAATTCTAAATGTAAGTGAATTGCTTTTCTCTGTCTGGCCTCTTTCACTTATGAACAGGGAGTGTTTTCATCACCGCCCACTCTGCTGTGTCCGTTGCCTGCTGGGAGCTGGCCTGTGTGTTCTCGCCCTCCTTCTGTACAACGTCCCTCTCCTGGTGGACAGCCTTTCGTGGTGGGAATGGCTGACCACTGATACCTTGCAGTCCTGCCATGGATAGTTGTATGAGGGAGCTCCTAGGGTTTTAATACCTAACACCAGCGGCTTTCATGCTTTTGATTTTTTTTCTTTCCATGCACATAAATCAAAGGGAAGCTGCTATGTTGGAACAGGGGCAGGGGTGGCAGGCCTGTCATCCTTCCTAGTTCTCTCCACCTTTGTCCTATTTCCCGCTCAGGGTGCCCGCTCGTGCGGAGGACACCACACTAACCAAAACGGCTAAGTGTAAACGCCCCACCTCCCCCAGCCAGCTGCAGGGAGCTGGCAGCTGGAGCATGCGGCATCGAATGACTTCTGGACCCTGAGTCACACATCTTGCTGTGTTTGAACTAAGCACAGGGCTGGGCTACGCGAATGCACAGCTGTGTTTGTCCTGTTGCTGCCCAGCCCTGGTTCCTGCTGTATTTTTCTTTGGAGGCAGCTGGACAGAAGTAGAAAGGACTGCACTAGGCGGGCAGGACCCTGGGCTACCAGAAGAGGGTGGCAGTCTTGGGTGCTGTTGTCCCCCATTGCAGCGTCACCTTGCTTTCTTCGGCTCTCCGGCGGGAGCCTCCCTGAGAAAGCCGGCCGGGTGTGAACGCACCTTCACACTTGCTGCGCTAAGGCGCTCCGCTAATTGCATGCCATCAAGAGACGTGTAAGGTGGAAGTGAGACGGTTTCCTGGGCGCCTCTCCTTCTAGGCTCAATCAGGAAATACATTTTCACTTAGCAAAAGCTTCTTGGCCTTTCTCAGCTTACCACTGACCTCGAACTCAAATGGACCTGCCTCACCTCGCCTCACCCCGGGGCACCCTGCTCTTCCCGCTTACGTACTTTCTTCTGGGTAACTCATGCAGCTTCCCTAGCCAGCCCTTCACTTTTCGGTGCTGTGGGCTCGGTGTGCCCCATTCGTTATTTGTTTTCTTTTTATGCTTCTGT